AGTGGAGAGCAAATGTTTTGAGAATGATGAGGGCAATGAATATACAAATGTGCTTTACACAATGGAAGTATGTATGGATTATGATAAGAGTTGTACGAGCCCAAATAAAATTATTTTTAAAAAAAGAAAATAAAAACATAATCCTTGAAGTTAAACAGGAAACACTTAAGCCACTATGCCACCGGGGCCCCTTATATATAGCAAGATTCCCTTTTATATGTTCTCTTGGCAACCCAAATTCCTAATGCTTTTCCTAACATTGAAAATGTCATTTGTCTAGTTGGATGCTCAATACTAATCCAGGGATAAGCTATAAGCTCCATGAGAGCAGAGGCCCTGTGTTTTTGCCCAGCACAGGCACTCAATAATGTATATTGAACAGTGATGCATTTTCTAGAGAACACCTATTAAAAACAGAGTTAAGAGGACAGTCCCCTAGAGCTTTGTTTACATGGGAAATGAGTTTTGTTTGAATTCTCTTTTGCAAAAACAATGGTGATTATTTGGGGTGGGATAATTGGAGAGGCGGGGCGCTTGATCCCCAGAAACAGACTTAAGCTACAACATTTTCAACTGCAGTTGTCTTCCTTTGTCTAAGACGGTGAGACTATAATTAGGTGCACGGTTCTTGTGGGCACTCGTGGTGTCTTCTATTCCTCTCCTATCTTCTGTGTTTGTACACAATAAACAAGCATTTAAAATATTCCATTCTGATTTTCTTATTTTGTAAAGAAAGGAAATCACAGACAACATGACTCATCTGTATAAAATGTAAGAAACCGGTACAGCATCCTAGAATTCATATATGTACACCTTAAGGGATTTTTACAACATCAGAACGTATTCTGTGGCATGGGATGTGTACAGGTTTGCAGTACTCTAAGTTATGCCACATAAAGCCATCCCTAAAATTCATATCTAAATACATTTTTTCAGCTAGGTTTTAACTAGTTCTTTTATGTATTTTCTCAGTATCTTTGGTATGAAAGTACCTTACATAAGCATTTATACAGGACTTTAAAAAAACAGTATTAATAAAGACCCTAAACTTTACATTCAAGTATTTATTTAATATGTGCTAGGCAATAAGCTCATTATTTGCATGCATTATCTCATTTAATTTTCAAAGTCTATAAGATATGTACTTTTATATTCCCATTTAAAATTTAAAAAAGAAATGGTATATTTTTTATTATGAATTGGATGAAGGTTTAGAGCAGTAGTTCTCAACCTTCTTAATGCTGCGACCCTTTAATACAGTTCCTCATGTTGTGGTGACCCCCCAACCACTATTTTCGTTGCTCTTCAAAACTGCAATTTTGCTACTGTTATGACTCAGATGACCCCCTGTGAAAGGTCATTCGATCCCCAAAGGGGTCAGGACCCACAGGTTGAGAAGCGCTGGTTTAGAGAATAGGTCAGTTTTCCAAATATTCACAATTCTATGAGCACCATGGGGCTAAGTAAGTTCAAGCAGTTTGCTTAGAATATCACGGAGGCAGAATCTGGCAGCTGACTGGGCTCTGCACATTCCCTAATGCCCTCCCTGGACTGACTGCTCCACACACAGTGGAGGACTTCTTCCACAAGTATGTTCCACCACTGGACACTCATAAGGACTCTAGGCAGGCAGACAGGGGTGGGAAGAGATCACTGTTTTCTTGTTAAACAACCACAAACAACTATGCCTCAAGAGCACTGAAGTCCTCTGGCTAATAAGTAGCACAAGCAAGCCTTAAACTGGGATCTTCTGATCTCCACCAAATGCCTTTCCTCTAACAGCTTGTTACCAGCAGGATATGGCCTTGTTTTTAACATTTCTGACTTGTTGCTGTGTATCTTTTTCTTTTTGTAATCTGGTTCTACATAGAGGTTCATAGATAATTGCACAACGATAAAGAATTCTATTTCTGGCTTGATCTAAAAAGGGATGGAATACACTAAATTTACCTCAGTGGCATCAGCTTTGTACGATGAGATTGTTTTTGTGCATACCATACTGGGGAGAAATAAGCCAGAAAACCTTGGAAGTGATGAATAACAAAGCTATTTGTAAGCATAAAATTAACACTGAGAATACACCTACCAAATTGTCAGCAAGAAAATTGGAAATCCAGTGTACTGGGCTGGTGTACTGACTCTCTTATGAAAAGTGAACTGGAACGTAGAACTGATGAACATGCACAACTTTACCTTTGGACATTTTTTCTTTTGGCTGAGAGATAACAAGTGTCACATCTTCAGGTGCATTTTGCAAAATGTCAACTGCAGCATGTTGGCTCACCCCCTCCAGACTGACGCTATTCACAGATATCAAACGGTCCCCTGAGCAAAGAGAGAAGGTTGCTCTGATCAATCCAGGATTTTCCACATGAAAGAGACACGCATGCTAGATCTAAGAAATGCCATTTTCATTTTCACTAAAGTCTACTTCAGTCTTCTGTGCAAATTCATGCCTATTATTAAGTATTTAGGAAATTACCAAAATACCAAGTACCTGGCTTTAGGCATCCATCCAAGTCAGCTGGTCCTCCAGGAATAATCGAGCTGATAAATACACCTAGGTCCAGTCTTCCCATCTTTTCCCCACCAATAATTTGAAATCCTATGAAACAACACATTTTAATAAACCCTTCCCAATAGCAGTGCTTTCAATAACCAAGGATTAGCCTGCAAGAAATGCAGGCATGTACAGACTTCCAACAGGAAATATGACTGAAGGGTAACAACAGTGAGGTGGGATTCTGACAGATTTAGTCATGGTGAAAGTATTGCTGGGAGGCATTTCTCTGGCACTGCCCGGTGGGTCAGGCAAAGAGGTTGCTGTCATGGGTGTGCAGCAGTGCCTTCATCAGAAGTGGTCTCTCAATACCTAAGCCTGTGCCGCACACCTGAATTCTCACGGGTCATTAAGAACCTCACAACTTACCTAAGCCATACTTTGCATCTTTTTTCAGGTTCACCAAGGTGATCTCCCTTTCTGGTGAGGATACGATGCTCCATCTTTTGCGTAGCACATCTGTTGGGAATTTATCATTTTAAAAGAAAAAGAAACATAGTATGCTCAGAGATTAAGACCATCAGCGTGTTCCAATTTAAATATTAACAAGGCTTGTTAAGAGGTTTTTCAGTCACTTAAACATATACATGTATATATTTTAAAGTGACTGACACTGTCCATCATCTTACATTTTTTTATAGTGACTGATAGTTTATAAAATCACTCTATGGTATGACATTGTTACTTGTGAATCAAGCATATTTCAGTTTCAAATTAGTAAAGAAATCTCCAGAGGTTAAATGATCTGAGCAGGTGGGATGAACTAGGCAGGAAAGAACTAGATTTTACATTAAAGTCTTCTTCCATCTTTCCCCACATCACAGCAGATGCCAGGATTTCACAGTGCCAACATTTTAGGAATCACCTTCTAATGAAAAGGTGGAATTTTTATTTATGAGTGAACCATTCCTGATATGGTCTAGATCAGTGGTTCTCAACCTTCCTAATGTTGCGACCCTTTAATACAGTTCCTCTGTCGTGAGACCCCAAACCATAAAATTATTTTCGTTGCTATTTCATAACTGTAATTTTGCTAGTTATGAATTGGGCGACCCCTGTGAAAGGGTCGTTCGAACCCCAAAGGGGTTGCGACCCACAGGTTGAGAACCACTGTTCTAGACTCTGGAGTAAATAGCACCCATAATAACCTGGACTGTTTTTTTTCCTTGTTTGCTTGTTTTTTAAATACTACTAGTCACGACTTGCCCAGCATATTTAGATTCTCAAAAGATTTTCATTCATTCCTCATGTGGAAGAATCTAATGAGTCAGATAAAGCCATTTTCCCCCCAATATTGCTTTGTGGGTAAAGAATACATTTGTGATTTGCTCAACATTACAACTAGTATAAAAAGCCCAGTAAATTATCTAAGTACGAGAAATGCTATTTAAATAAATTTAATGTCACTATCAGAACTAAAATTTTCTTATTTCCATGTAGGTTTAAATTTCAAAAAAGACTAACCATTCAGAAATATCTTTTTAACTAAAAAATATGTTACTTAGTTGCCATGTTAATACAGTTAGTTCACCTGCTTCCCTATCAAGTATCTGAACACACACACACACACTTAATGTCGATTAGAAATTGATAGCCCAAACGGTCTGTGTCTAAAGGCAGTGACAGTGGTGGGGATACACTTTCATAAAGATATTTTTAAAAGTGAAATCTTCACATTTGACTCCATGCAGTGGCAACCAGCGTAGTGTATCTTTTAAAAATGAAAGCTATGGTTTACTAAAGTATAAAACAGGATTTCCTTTAGGCTTTATGTGCAGGTTTTTAACATCCAAACCACTATGACACAGACTTTGCTTCTGTACTTGTCGACACATGATCACCTAATATAAAATTATACTGGTGTTGTTTTAGCATCTAGTGACATGCATTGCATACAGATGCAATGCTTTATATTTTAGAAATCTCCTTTAGTTTCAGGAAGGGACAATATTCAGTGTCAGCCGTAAATTGCTCCTGAAAGGGCTCATTCTTCCTCTTTCTAGTTTCCCATTCCAGGGCTTTCGCCCGTAAGTTTTCCTATGAAAGTGTTGTTCCACTTCACCCAGATTTTAAAAAACCAGGGCTCATTTGGGTTTTGCCTTGTCAGTAATAACTAATGCAGTTTCAACTGGTTGGAAGCCCTGACCCACGAATAAAACCAGAGTGCCAAACCTTGCTTAAAAAAAATTAACCCAAGAAGGGAGTGAGGTCAGGTTAGAAACTGAAATCAGTACATTGTTTCTGTGACCATGTCTGTGAGGTGGCAAGTGGGAGCAACCAGGAGCAAAGTGCTTTGTAACATGATTAGAGGACGATGATTGCTCTGAAGTTCCATTTCTTCAGATCTAAGCACCCGCTGCCCTTGGAATTAGAAGCTGGTTTGAAGGAATTACTCGGTGGTACTTGACAAGTCCTTAGGCGCAGAGTTCTCAGGAAAAGCCAATTCCTAGGCAGAGCAGGTAGAATCAAAAGCAAGCAGCAGCAGCAGAAGACTGCTCAGGGAAAACATTGCCTCTGCCTGGCTACTTTCCTCACCCCCAACTAAGGGTTTATGTGGCTGTTTGTTGGTGCAGCTGATTATGATCAGGGTGTCCGTGTGCACTGCTGAAATCGGACGGAGGTTTCGACAGGGCTGCAACCTTGCTAGGTTTAACATGTACAAGGACACTGAAGACAAAGCCAATTTATTTTAGATAGAACGTATCTGCCCTCAATGATAAAACCTTTCAGTGTTCTTAGGGTTTCACAGAGTATCTATGGAGCACAGGTATTCTAGTAAAGAATAAAAAATGCCACCACCAACCACTGCACCCCTACAACCTTTGTACAATCAAGACTGTTCTCCTGGATAATAATGTGTGTGTCCATATGTTTTTACATGTTTACTTTATTTCCAGCCCCTGGAAGAGGACACCATACTTGGAAAGGGAGCAGCTCAGGGAGAAAAAGAAGACCTCCAATGGATGGATGGCTACCATGGCTCCAACAAGGGGCTCAAGCACAGCACTGCTCATCATGGGGTTCACTCGCAGGGAGACTGGGCAATCTGCTTCTGTAACCATCTCAGCCCAAATCTTAATGACAGATCCTTAAATACACCCTCCTGAGCCAGTTCCACTCTGTCTTGGGGGTGTGGCGGTGGGTCCTTAACCGGGAAATGGACTTGAAGATGGCACCAGAAACAGAGCTAGCAGACACAGAGTAAGCTCTGCTTATTTAAGGATTTGTCACTAAGATTTGAGCACTCATTTATTTGTTCGGTTGTTCCCTCATCCTTTTAAATGTTCACTGACCCCCACTCTTGTCCCAGTCCCTCACTGGGCTCTGTGGGGAAACAGAATGAAGCAATGCACAGGGCAGCTGCTAGCACAGTAAATACGAGCTAAACCACTTCAGGCTCGAAGATCAATGAGTCAGCCTTATTATTAATTAGCTGCATTACAGGCATGAGCCAGGCCTATAAGAAAGGTCTTCAGAAGTACTCCCGTAGCTACGAGAGGGGGTAACTCCTTCCTGCTGGAGGGTATGGGGAAGAATTCAAGGAAGCAGGGTAGGCTTTTTAAAGTGGGATATGGAGGTGGGTATAGCCAATAAGGCACTAACAAAAGCTGAGATGGAAAGGTGGAGGAACAAGTTCGGGGAAAATGTTACAAATCAGGTAGCTTAGAGTACAGGGTCTCACCAAATATTTGACTGACAGGAAGTTCTGTCAGTCTGCTCTTTTAGCAGGAATACCTCCCTCCCCATGCCCTCCCCAGCCGTGATGATGTGATGTGATTTATAATGGGAGGACAAAAGGAAGAAAGGGTGTTGGTGTGCAGGTGGATGCTACTAGACAGGTCAGGATGCATGCTTAGTTTCTGTTTATCTTAGTCTTCTCTCTACATAGCAAAACTCCAAATGCACTGCCGTTGAGATGATTCCAACTCATGACAACCCCACAGGACAGTGCAGAATTGTCCTTAGGGGTTACAGCAAAAAGCCTCACCTTTCTCCCAAGGAGCAACTGGTGGTTTCAAAGTGCTGAGCTTGCCCTTAACAGCTCAGTACATCACCCTTATGCTGCCAACACGACTCTCATGTTTAAATGAGTTTAAAATACGTTGGAGGTGGAACTACCAGAGTGTGTATACTTACATGAAAACCTAAGTAAAATGAGGAAGTATTTGTAGAGTTCAATGAAGGCTGAATAGAATGTATGAATCTCTGAAAGTGAGGCAGCTAGATATATTTCAAGTACCCAAACAGTTCTCAATTATTTTAGTTATTACTAAATGTTTCAAATCCTTAAAACAAGTTTCTCATTAAATATCGTATATGACCACAGTAAAACTTGTAAAACATACCTGAAAGCCCAAACAAAACCACTGCCATCGAGTCTATTCCAACTCATAGTAACCATTTAAAACAGAGCACTGCCCCACAGGGTTTCCAAGGCTGAAAATCTTGATGGAGGTAGATTGCCACATCTTTCTCCCAGGGAGCAGCAGAACTTCCGATTAGCAGCCAAGAAATTAACCATGGTACCAAGAGGGATCTTTTGAAGTGAAAACAAATCTTGTTCTGTGAACATATGCTAGTACCATCCCAACAATGCTTTCATGGGACTCACTTTAAGAAGAGTTGACAGATGCATAATTTAGAAGTTTAATGTTGCTCTAATGTTGCCTTCTTTCTCGTCCTTTAAATTGTGTGTGGATACTATGCGGTTCACAATGAGAATAGATGTGTTCACAGAAATGACATATATCAGTCTTTCCTAACTGACCTTCCTAGTAAGAGCATTATTCTGATGAGGCCAAAGCTATATAATCATTTTAAATATGAATCAACGATTTATCTTAGGCAAAAATAAAAAACACCAGGCTCCCCAAACAGCAAAAATTAAAACAAACACACATCCCAAACCACACAGACACACACATAAAGAATTTTCTTAGTTATAGACCCTGGCCAACTATTAATCATTTTCATGCCGCTCATTGGACAATGAGCTACATGGTAGATGGGAGGGGCATTGGATGAACCTATCGTGTTGCCTAAGGAAAAAGTTCTCCATTCCAATCAAAGACCTCGCAGACAGTGGGCCAGTAGCATCATACAAATAGAGAGAGGTTTGCTGCTGTTCTATTACCTAATATTGGTATCTACTTGGCTGGCAGGTAAGAGGAATGAAAATGGTAACTGGCATTTTATTTCTGTACCACAATAAATCAGCCAAATGAACTGAGGCCATATAATATCGCCCATTCAACTCATGCATAGGTCGGAAAGGCCTGGATTGGATGAACTTCTTAAGATTCTCTGAGTTCTCAATTTACTTAACTCTTTCACTTCTGCTTAATTCTATATCTTAAATCGTTTGCAAACATATAGGATTTTAATTTTAATATAATTTTTAACTTTGTATGTATTCTAGTTAAACCTTCATGGGTGTGGGGGGGGCAGATGGGCACTTT